TCGAGCTAATGATTAATTTTTTGCACGTACTAAAGCCAGAGCCGAGCCATGTACGCGAGATAGAGCTGGCAGCTGGCAGCCAGCGGGGCACACACACATGGATGGATGCCCTAAGCATTGGACAAAATGGGAATGGGTCGCATAAATCTCTCCTCTCTAATCCGCTCCCACCCCAAGCGCACACACGTCAACCAGCGCGATCATCGCTGCTCCTAACTGGCATTCTGCGTGGACACCCTGTGGGCATGGATCAAAGACATCCTCTCTCTCTCTGTCTCTCACTCTCCTGAGCTGTCTCCTCTCACCGTTCTCTTTGGGAACCAGCACACACGAACACACTCTTTGGCGTTGTCACACTTTGCACTTTGCCTTTGCCATTCAGGCCGAGGGGCAGCAGAAATAACAATTAGCAAACAAAAATTACAACAACAACAAAAACCGCAAATTGTGCAATAACAATTAGCAATAAATACGAGTAGGTATCGCTCTGGCGCACTTTTGTTTTTTTTTCTGGTTCGAATTTAAACGTTATTAAATGAAGCGCAGCCCCACAACAAAATGCAAAAAAAAAAAAAAAACACAAGAACAGCCGCGCAGCAGTAAAGTCGAACGGAAAACCGAAAATCAAACAACAAAAATTGAAAAACCGACGGTAAACAAAACGCCCGCGACGGAGCGGCGCTGCTGAAGGAGAGCGCAAGCGCGAGTGCGAGTACGAGCGAGAGCTTCGATGGCGCGCCTACGACTGGGGTATGGCGGCAAGCTGCACCGTTAGTTTGTTACACCTGAACTGAAAAGTTTTTGGGCCCAAGCCGCCGCCGCCAATCATTGTTTTTTTTTTCCCGCGACGCGAGAGCTTTGCCTTTGCCACCTTACACAAAAGTAACCAAGTATTTATGTAGATATGTACGTAAATATGTATGTACATATGTCTGTACATGGTGTTCGTGTGTGTAGCAGGTTAGGGGGTGGCATGGAAATATGTACAAATGCAGCTACAGGTACCAGGGGGTACTTTGTACTTACCAATTCATTTTGCTTGTCTTTGGAGCCAGCTTTGGATTTGATGGTCTTGCTCAGAGCCATGGCGTTAATTGAGCTGCCACCTCCAGCAGGAGCTTAGATCCACGCTTTGTTTGTTTCCTTTTATTGTTGTTGGTTCTGTTGCAAGACTTACTTCTTGTAACCCAACGGCATTAAAGTTATTATGAAGTTGTAGACCGAAAGCTTCTCATTGGATTGCGACTGTGCTTAGCCGAGTTTCAATCCAATGCTGCGCCTGAAAGTATGCAGCGAGTTAATACACTAAAGACAGAAAATAAAAACACTAATCATTAAAATGTTCGAAAGGCCACTTATCTACTTAATATTGTTTTTAATACAACAAATTATTTTTGTGTCATAATCATAATAATGCTCAGTTTGCTCAGTTGAATAGCCATTGCAAGGAATCGGCTGTAGATCAATTTGGTCTGTACTAAAATATTTTACGTGCACATAACTAAGAGTCTAATACAAGAAATTGGTGCTATTCCTACCTCCCGATTTTGAAATAAAAGCCTTGAAATTGTTAGTATTTTTACAGAAACTTCTAGTCTTGAACTAGTTTCACCTTTTTGGATAGATGGGATGTGTGCACTTTGCACACATTTCACTAGCATTCCCTTTCTTGTTTCTTGAACGACTGAGAAATGAAACCCAGTAAATGCGTTCCATGGAAATACCTAAAATTTATGTAATAAATGTTTTTTCATCATGATTGTACATCATCAAATAGTATCCACAATTTGGCCATCAATTTGCAAGGGCAAAGACTTGTAAAATCCTACAAATTGCTATTGCCATGTGGAGAAGAACTGCCTCTGTCGAAAGGATGAACTTCGAATAGGTGGAGGAGAGTAATGTTTTATTCCCAGTTTCTGGGGACACCATTTACTGTTCTGTTCCTCCTTGGACTCGATTTGAACTATGTAAAACCATAAAATAGTGATCAGAAGATCGGCTTCTTCTCTGACTTTTCTCATTTAAGTTAATTGCTGCTCTCGAACAACTGCTTTGAACTGATGGTGGTTGCTGCCCACTCGCTGTTCCGTCGCATAGTTTCGAGCGCATTTGGTCAAAATGAGTTTTCGTTTTTGGCTTTGAAGCCTGATGGCCAAAGCATTTGGAACGCCTTCGGGCCACAGCAACAGCAGCAGCACACCACCCGCCCCCGCCTGTTAATGAAACGAGCGTTGAAGCGTTCTTGCCACAGAACCAACAACCACAGCATCGAGAAAAACAAAAGCAACAACGAAAGTAAACACACAATAAAATTGTTGACACACAAACAGTTTGAAGTCAAGAAATCTACAAAATCAGAGGATTTACGATGCCCGAACACCGAGCGCCACCAAGGCGAGATCCATCTACGTAGATCTCAAAATGGATTTGCATATGCACATATGTACATATGTACGTAAATAGGTACGTAAATATGTGTTCCAAATATATACTAGACATGTTCATGTATAGACATCGAAACCGATATATTCCGACATATATCAAATATTGATAGCTGCTCGAAATGACGAAATGAGCGAGTTATTTGCGTTTTTTTTCTCTCTTTTTTTACTCTTAACGCTTTTTTTTCTTTTTCTTTCTTCGGCCCACACAGTGTCAGGCCAGTATCTGCCATATGAATATTATAGAACTGCGATCTGCTGTATCTGTGTCGCGGTCTCTGCCAGTGTGCGTGAGTGCGGCAAACATAACGTCGTACATGGCATATGGAGTAGAACTGACAGTTTGTCATACACCTAGCTACAGTGTAACAGTCCTAAGATGATTCGTCGAACAGATCTTGAATGAGTTGACAACATAGATGGATATTCATGCATATAGGGTAAATGCTTCATATGTGGCAAAGGAATGATGAATGATGGGATACATCAGATCAGTGAAGAAATGGGCATGATCCCCCATAGGGTGTGAATGAGTTTCTAGGTTAATGAATGGCTTCGTAAGTCGCAGCTGAAATTAATGAATGAATGAATGAAGGAATGGTTAAGCGTGCGTATGCATACCCATACAAATACATCAAAGTTTGCTTATGATATGATTAAAGATTTTCCTTGTTTTCAAGATTTCACATCAGGAGAGTTTGCGCCTTAAAATTGAAGCTGTAACCTAATGATTTCCTTAGCGAAGGCTTCACTGTAATCATGTGCAACACTTTTTACGACGACCTCTGCGAAAGCCACACAAATATTGCAGTACAAACGAACATCGCGCCAGAGACATCGTCATCGTCATCGTTATCGTCAAGTTGAATCGATTTCGATTCGCAGAACGATATCTCTGGATATAAGAATCTCGGAGCAAGTCCAGCACTGGGGGGCAATGGGCACTAGGGATTATCAGATGATCTCTCTCTCTCTCTCTCTCGCAGATCACAGATCGAACACTTAACAAAAAGAAAAACAAACAAATAAACGCACAGATGGAGTTGGGGGACAGATCGCGGCACACAGAGAGAGACAGGGCCAGAGAGAGAGAGCGGTAGAAGAGGCATATAATTGGCCAAAAGACACATGAACGGACAGCTGGCCCAACAGATGTTGCAAAAATGGCTAATGGGGCAGACAAGCGTGTCCAGAATGGTAGACTGGAGCGCGCCTAGGGATGGGCAGCCCATCAAGGATGACAATCTATCGATTGTCAGTCCATCGAGCATCGATAGATGGAGTTATTCGGGATGTGGGCGTGATACCTTTCGATTCGATTATTCACTCAATTTTAACAATAACAATAACAGTAATAACAATGCAACAGAAGCACACACACTCACACACACACACACACACACACACTAACCGAAAGGGTAGGACGAGGGAGAGATAGACAGTACTTAGAAGGAACCGCGCGCACGTTTTTGTGTTGTTGTTGTCGTTTTTTGTGTGTCCGCCCGTCGCGAGAGCACTCGGAGCAGCAGGCCAGGCCAAATGGTTTGTTGTAGTCCGCCTGTGCCAGATTCACAACTGATCTACCTGCTGGCATAGCCGTAGCTCCGTTGCCGTCTGTCGCCGCAAAATTGGCGATCGCGCGCGCTGCTCAGCCGCCGCACCCTGCCCCAACCCCAGCCCTAGCCCCAATCTCAGCCAGAGCCAGAGCCAGAGCCACAGCCACAGCCCCACCGATCGGCGATCAGTATTTCCCATTCGCATTCACAACAAGCTAAGCCCCAGCTTTGCGGTTGGTACATCTGCTAGCCAGCCACTTGGGCATTCATTCAAGCAACACAGACAGAGCAGAGAGTGAGAACCGCAAAGAGTGAGAGAGAGAGAGAGAGAGAGCAGAGGCAGCGGCAGCGGGAGAGAGCAATTCCGAATCGAAGCTGGCCAGCAGCCGCAGCAGCAGCAGCCATGATGCGAATACCTGTATCGGGGCAAGGTGTGTTTAGTCAAGGTGAATCACTTCCGGTCCAGCCAATCTTCTTTGAGGTTCCCATACTCTCCCAGAACATTTCTCATGTCTCGCATGCATATAAAAACGAAAGTGAAAGAAGTGCATATGAGAGCTTAACGCTAAAGCTTAACTCTGCCTCACCCCACATAAATGAGCTTTGGGATCGGGGCTGACTGAGCGGATCAATGAGAATGAGAATGGGAGAGAGCAAGAGCGAGCAGCTACCCTAACGTTAGGCAGGTATGCACACACGACCACACTCGGCATTACCGGAGAATCAACAGTTGAGAATCAACAAGCGTAAGCCGCTTGGTAGGGTAGCCAACATTCGATGCTTTTGCATGCGGCTTGCTGCGACAATATTTGGCTGGAGCAACTTGTCGCTTGAAGGTTAGGCCCGATTGGAATGCTGGCCGGCTCAAAGCGTTGGCGGTTAGGCAACGACAGAGAGTAACAGAGCAAGAGAGAGAGAGACCGAGACAGAGACAGTGAGTGACCTGCGCACACACCTACACTCGGACGCAGAGTAAACCTCATGTTGGCGTGTGTCTCATGACATTTCGCAGAATCGCTGGGGGGGGGGGAATATCAAAACTGCCCGCCAAACTGATAAATGTTCAGGGAGGGGGACTGTGGGGTGGAACGGAACTAGGAAATGCCTTTTGTCATTGGCACGCGCTACATGCACTGATTGCCGGGAGGGGGGACGGCTGTGTCGGAAGAGCAACAATAGATAGATAATACTCTCGCCCTGGTTTTTTCATGGAATTTTATTCTTTTTTATTGTTTTCATTTCTCATTAAGGTTTTTCTTTCTGTGTGTGTGTGTGATGATGATGATAATGTTTGGCCCGAACGAAAGGATTGGCTTCCACTCCCAACACAACGAAAAGAGAGAGATGCAACGGAAGAGAGTATCGCACACTCACTCCCTACGAAATGAAAGTGAGATTGAGAGAGAGAGCGAAAGGATGAATATCTCTATCAGTCAGCTGATCCATTCCAGTCGTCCCCTTTCGTTCCGTTCCTTTCCGCTTCGAGTGTTTTACAGTAAGTACAATCATAACCTTAATCTCTACAGAATGTGCAATTATTGATCTTTTACAATTTTCATTTCTAGTTTTATGTATTTTTGCTGTTGTTGTTGTTTTTGTTGTTTTATGGATGCCTTTTTGTTTCTTAAGCTAAGGGCAGCTGATAAAAATTAAAACTTACGAATGTCGTATGGTTAAAAAAAAGATTAAAAGAAGATTCTAGGACAGAATTTATTTGCTAAAATAATTAATGATCTCGTTCTGAATGGATTTGATTTGTAAGGGTAGGTAAGTAAGAGTTTAGTGATGCTTTATAGAGACATAGAGATGATACTGATGATGTTGCTACTGGTTCTTGGGCGATGACACTGTTTCATTTCTTCATTATGCTTAAACTAATTACATAAATTATGCTAGGATAGCGCGTGATTGTTAAAAAAGAGGACTACATAAATTAATTGGGACGCTTTCGTCCCGGTTTCTCTTGGTGATCCCCCCCCCCCCCCCCCCTCTACATTCTAGATTCGGACAGCAGGGCCGACTCGGACACCTCGAGTGGCCCACCCAACCGCCGATGTGTCGTGTAAATACGCAATTTTCTATGATTACTGGATGTTCGTTTTCTTTGGAGTAGTGGTTGTGGTTCATTCTCTCTTTGTAGGTCTTCCTTAAGTTCCTTTCTATCCCCCCCCTCCCCCCTCACCTGGCTGGTATCCTGGTTGAATGCATCAGCTCTGCTTTTGGTTGCTCCTCGTTACTGGATCAGTGTAAAATTTCATAGCGCGCCTTCACTCATCGCTCTACTAAATAATTGCTTCCCTCCGTCCATTCCCGTCCAGTTGTCCCCTCCCGTGTTAGTCACCGAAGCCGAAGCCGTATCCGTTTGCTTCCTTACTTGTCTGCTTCCACCGTGTGTTCCTGCAACTGTTCCTCCTGCGCCTGCAGTAAGTAGTGGCTGGAACTCCACTTATGCCTCTCATAACCTCTTCAACATACGCTTCTTCTCCTTGAGCAACTTCTCCTTCTTCTTGTCCTGCAGCTTCTTGTCCAGGCCCGCATGCTTCTTAGTTGAGGGTCCATCATCATCTTTGGCATCGCTCGCAGCGCTAACACCGCACTTGGCGGGCTAAACCCAAACAAAATCGGTTGAGATCCAATATATAATCCATACGAACGTGAGGGAACACTTACCTGGGCATGGATCTCCGTCATCATGCGCGCTCTCTGCGAGTAGTCATCGTATCGTTCGAGCAGCATCTTGCCAGCCTCCTCGTTGAGTGCAGACTCCGGATTGGGCACAATCAGCAGGCATTTAATGGTAAGCAGTATGTGTTTGATACCCAGATCCGGCTTCCAGTCCTTCTTCAGTGTGTTGACGCAAATCTCGCCGTTGCTCGCCACATTTGGGTGAAAGATTTTGGTTAGGAAATAGGCCTTTGGCGGCGTTTGCGGGAAATCTTTGCTGAGTGTCAGCTTGACGCGGAAGATGCCAACGGCGTACGGTGTGCCCGCTGGTCCGTCGATCAATGCCTGTATATCGGTGACATCGCTCTCGTTTATTAGCACTTTAATGCCCTCCGGCGGGGTGGTTTCCATCTCTTGCAGCTCCCTCATCACCTGACGTATCGTTTGCGGCGACAGGTTCTCCACATTGGAATACTGCTAAAAGTGGTACAGTTTTTCAATTGTTTTAGTTTTGAATTTCAATCTCCCAATATTTTGGATACATTACCGAACTCATGGCTTTTCCTGTGCCCAACGGATGCTGTGTAACAGTTCGTGTGCGTGTGCGTGTGTATGTGTGTGTGGAGGGTTTTCAAGGTTTCGCGACGGTGCTTTCCTGGGCCCGCAGCTTGGAGGCTTGACTCCAAAAGTGTGTTGCAATCTCTCTTCGCGCGGAGAAGACGCCAATGTGCAATCTGGTGCTGCTGTGTGCTGGCGGTGCTTGGCGTAGTCGTTGGAGTGGAAAACTACTCTTGTTTCACTGTCTTTTGCAGTTTTTGCTTGCTTCTACTTCGAGTGGGAGGGTTTGCTTTGGTTTGGTTTGGGTTTCTTCTTCTGTTTTCGCACGCTTTTCACTTTTATGCCTAATAGAAATTTGAAGACTTTTGAATTTTGCCTTGCGATGGATTTCAAATCGATTTGATCGCCTGTGTTGTTGCTGTTGTTGTTGTCCTTCTTTTTTCGTCACATTTAAACAAATTCTGTCAAATTGCACACTTCACGCTCAACAACAACACGAAAACAGCTTCCATTTACAGAAACCCTCGTCGTATGGCATGCGCTACACATCAGGCATGCTGACTCGCCAAAACGTCCCTCGCACAAACCTTTTTGAGAAGCCGCGTTTAATTGTAAATCAATTACAAATATACAAAAACTGGTACAATTCAATTTAACGCTTAACCTACGGATACTTTTATTGTTAATTAAATCCAAATATGCATTATTGTTCGCATCGCTCGCAGGGTAGAGTGTACGTGAGTGAGCATAGCCTAAGCAAACATGCAGCTCTCTACACTTCTTTCAGGGCGCAACACTAGGGTTGTCTCGCTCTGGCGCACGCACATGAGCGCATCTCAGCTGCAGTTGAAGTTCACACTAATTTCAGTGCAACTATTTTGCAGGGGTCTTTGATGAAGCTGATATTACAAATATTATATTTTACGAAAACTGCGGAAAAATAGCATTTGTGAGCTGGCAATTGCAGAAAAAAATAAACAGCGATGAATTGCAGGGGCGGTGGTTCGGCGTGCCCGTTTGCCAGCACTGCAGCGCATTCCGCACACATTGTGCATTCTCCAACACTAAACTCCAGCGCTGAGCGAGATCTACTACATCCATCTCCATCCATTTCTTTTATTTAATTAGTTTTAATTTAGATTTCTAATTCTAATTTATTAAAAAATTTTAATTTCTGCGACTCGCATCCCGTTCGGCTCGCTTCGCTCCGGTCCGGTTTGTCCGTGTGAGCCCCCGCCCACCGACACCGACACAGAAACAGAGCCAACCCAAGTGTGTGCCTGCCAGCCCCTCCGTTGTGTGTGCGTTTGCTCAGAAATTGTCTGTTGTGTGGAAAAAATGTCGAAGAATAAAATAAACACAACCTCGGCCACGGCCACCGGCGCTGAAACGAATCTAATCGAAGTGAAATCAAAGGTGACTACTCCCAGGGAAGAAAATTAATGCTGCTGTCCCGCTGCCGCTGCCGTGCCGTGCCGTGCCGTGCCGCTCCCATTCTGGCCACTAACACTATAATCCGTCGGGGTCAGGTCGATGTTGATCAAGCGGTGGCATTGCTGATTCATGCGTATAGAAATGGCAATGCAAACGGAAACGGGTTGCCTCCCGTGATCGGCCAGCACCTGTAGGCTGCAGGCTGGGCGCAACAGGCCGTGCAACAGTTGTTGCAGGGTGAAATTTTTCACTGGAACAACACCTCTAATGGCCATTTGCATTTTCAGTTCGATGCCGAATTCCGACGCTGGAGCTTCAAGCGCAACGAAACGGAGCAGAGCTTCGACAAGTTCGCGGCACTCATCGAGCAGCTGCACAAGCTGGCGAATATTCAGTTTCTGATACTCTACATCGATCCGCGGGACAACGATCTGCTGCCCATCAACAACGATGATAACTTCGGGCGTGCGCTCAAGACGGCACGACCCCTGCTGCGTGTGATAGTGCAACGCAAAGGTGAGAGCGCAGCGAACTCCCCCCTGAGCCGATTTCCACTTGAAATGCTTTCCCCTTTGCAGATGATCTGAACGAGTACTCTGGCTTTGGGACGATGAAGCCGCGCAACCTCATTGGCAGCATACTGCTCGGCCATACGCCGGTTAAGACCAAGGCGCCATCGATATCGAAGCCCCACGACTTTCGCCAGGTTTCGGCCATCATTGATGTGGACATTGTGCCGGAGACGCATCGGAGGGTGCGCCTGCTGAAGCACGGCAGCGACAAGCCGCTGGGATTCTACATACGCGACGGAACATCGGTGCGGGTGACGTCCAGCGGCCTGGAGAAGCAGCCGGGCATATTCATATCTCGCTTGGTGCCGGGCGGACTGGCCGAGAGCACTGGCCTGCTGGCCGTCAACGATGAGGTTATCGAGGTGAACGGCATCGAAGTGGCTGGCAAGACGCTGGATCAGGTCACCGACATGATGGTGGCCAACAGCTCCAATTTGATCATAACCGTCAAGCCGGCCAATCAGCGCACGCTCACGTCCACACATCGCGGCTCCTTCTCGCGCAACAGTCAGCTGTCGAGCGGTTCGCATCACACAAATCACACGAACACCTCCGACGAGATTGAGCACGATGATCAGGATGATATTGTCGATCTAACAGGCGTCACGCTCGATGAGAGTCCCACGGGCACCTCCTCCACCGGCAGTCACAACAATCATCAGCCGCAAACGCAGCAGCAGTCATCGTCACCGCCCACGCATCACCATCCGGCAGCCTCCAATGCGTCCACAATAATGGCCAGCGATGTCAAGGATGGTGTGCTGCACTTGTAAGCCAGGCAGCCAGCGACAGAAGGAACGGCAAGCGACGACCACACCACACCACCACACACATTTGATGGAACCAGAGAGAGAGAGAGAGAGAGTTCAGGCCTGTCGCGCGGGGTACATTAGTGTGTAGATCGAGAGCCTTGAGCCAGTCAATTAAGCGTAAAGTTCAATGAGATAATCCCCGACACAGGCCACGTACATATATCATTATAGCATATATAAAATGTTTTTATATGCAGCTACACGACTCTCCCCCACCCATACATTCCACACACACACACACACCCATACATTCATTTGCATGTTTTTGGAATGCAGTTTGTCCCTTTGTTTTTTATCTATTTTCCTTTTACTTTTCATATTTATTTGGGTATTTAAATTTTGTAGTCCCCCCTCTGATGATGTTGCATTAGATTAGAACGAGATGGCAAGATGGAGATTGAGACAGAGCAGCAGAGAGCAAGCATTAAATGCTGAAAAAGAGAGAGACAGAGAGAGAGAGAGAGAGAGAGAGAGAAACACATTCCATTTTTTGTAAACCCAAAAAACAAAAACTCACAAAAATGTCTGCACATTTAAAGCGTGGATTTGTGTGCATTATTTTTAAACAAAAGATTTCTGTAAGTTCCATTTTACTTGTGTGTCCAGTTTAAACTTTTATTCCACATTTTGTTATGTTAAACGATTATTAATCATATCTATATTTTTTTTTGTCATTTTACACTCGTGTTTTTGTCGTAATTGTGTGTCCCCCAATACTCGTTCCAAGTTCTTTTTAACAAATACAAAAATATTTATGTTCATCATCGTAGGATAGGAGAGAAGTTCGGGGTAGATAAAGTTAAACAAACACCAACAGCGCCTTCGCCTTTAAGAGAGCAAATTCGATACTTTTTATATGTTTACAAAGAAAAAATATATATATATATATAAAATATACAAAATAGCATGTTATACACGCATCTAATTAGATCTAATGGAACACGAACACGCGAACACACACTGTATACGCTTTAGTGAAATCGAAGAAAAGACATTCAACAGCAGACCGAACCCAGGCAATACCTTAGCTAACTCTACTATATATAACATGATCTAAGACTAGTGACAGGCAGCGAATCCGATCCGAAACTACAGCCCAACAAATTATATTCCAGCTGAGCAACTGAGCAGAAAGAAAAACTTATATTTTGATGTATGTATTATTATTTTGTAATAAATCTAAGAAAAGTGTAATCGAAACTCGAAAGTACAATTTATTACTCGTGATGGGAGTCTGGAGAACTCTACGAGTTTACACAAGGGTTCGGTATTCAGTTCAACATTTAGCAGTTATTGTCAGAGGAATGGAATCTAGAACTATTTCCTTGTTGTTCTTTGCCAGGAAACGCCTTTAAATGATTTTGTGAGTGCGGAGAATTTATCTCTGGGCAGGTCCCACAATTGTTTCATTATTTTTACATGCTAATTATAATCGAAGTAAGGATATTTGTGTGCTCAACATTCAGGTTTCGTGGCTAACATTAAATGCCAAACGTGGTGGAAGATTCGATGCGGTCAGCTTGCTTAGACGCTGGGCGCATTATTCTCGAGACACTCCAGAATGGTGCGCGCCGAGGGGCGATCCTCGCTTAAGGCATTCGTGCACAGGTAGTAAAGCTCGACAATGGTGTTGTAGTCTTCGGTTAGTTCAAAGGCCTGCGGTAGCGGTGGACGTGTGCCAAATGCCGACTCCATGTTACTCAGCGCTGGATTGTTCTCCTTGTCGTCCGTCTCCGACAGCTCTAGGGAGCTGTTCATCTCGATGCTGGCGTCGTAGCCATCGTCCAGCGGCAGTGTATGCGGCGGCACGAGGGCCAATGTCTCGTAGATAACAAGGCCAAAGCTGAATATGTCAGCCTTGCTGTCAATTGTGTCCTGGCAGTCAATCACCTCGGGTGCGGACCACAGACTGGTGCCTGCAACGACACATCAGATCCATGTTTTTTGGATCTATATTAAGTGTAAGACTCACCCACGTAGCCGCTGCTCTTCGCCTCATTGTTCTCATCCAGTGGCAGAGACACACCAAAGTCGCACAGCTTGCAGATCTCGAACTCGCCTTTTACGAGCACATTGAAGGACTTGATGTCGCCGTGCAGCAACTTGGCCTCGGTGTGCAGATAGTCCAGCCCTTTGGTAACGTCCAGCATCATTTTGAGGATTTTGTCAGAGTCCAGGCGTCCCAGTTCCTCGTCGAAGCGCTCTTCCAGTATCGAGCCCAGCGAGGTGTTGCACATCTCCAGGGCCAGGCTGTGTGCGCCCTCTTCCGATGGGATTTCGGCGCGGAAGCCCACAATGTTGGGATGCTTTAGTTTGCTGTAAATGTAAAGGGCTCATGGTTAACGGTAAACAATTTCCGTTTGTTCCCCACAAACACATGCAAATGCAGGCTCAACGCACACACACACACACACACACACACACAAATCACGACTTGACGCACGCAGTACCCACCGCAAGATGTCCGCCTCATGGATAATGCGTTCGCTGATATTCTGATCCTTTTGTGCCAGCGAACGCTTGGTGATACTCTTGATTGCCCACGGTGAGCGCGGTTGGCCTAGGCGGGGCGAGCGATCCAGGAGATAAACTTGAACGCCGGTGCCATAGCCCAGGGTCTTCAGCATTTTTGACGGCGGTAAGCGAACTGGTGTGCTCATGTTCTGTAAGTTCTCCACATGCAAATTACGTAGCTTTCCGCGCGGCGTTTCCATCTTGATGTTTGGCAAAATTGTTCTACGGAATAGAGTTTAAATGCTATTTTTAAGGCGACGGGCGAGTGAAGTTTAAATTGAAAAACAGTGAGGCAGTGCGACCGCGGAATTATTAATAGAATATACCGTACTGACCCTCAGAAATATACCGAAATATACCAGGTTTTTAAGGTGCTAGAAAAGCGAAGTCGCAGAATAATAAAGAATGATCAAAATTTAGCTCTTTCTCGTTTTCTCTCTCTTACGGAATTTTCCTCTTGTGAGCCTTCTGACTCAACGTTAAACGTTCAAATATACTGAATATACCATAGCAAACGCCCTGCAATGAGTGTGAATGCCACAAATGCCCGGACAGGGTTGCTCTGATTAAGAATACCAAAACAAGCGCGCTCAACTTTTACCGTTTCTTTTTGAATTGAAATTTAAGTGATTTCAGGGGTTTTGTTTATAGGTACACAAGTTTATTCTCTAATACACTCTTTTAATATTAATTTAGATAAAAAAAAAAACAAATGCATAACAAACATTTAACATAGTTCTCTTAATAGTTTTCGCCATCAATTTATCGTTTCTCATTTTGTATGTGCTTCTGCCAATATCATTCTCTAACTTACAGATTCTATTCTGCGGAGTCTGGGGAATTGGAAACGGAAACGGAATCCAATTCCGTATTACACTTAGAGCCTAGCAACATTAAACATCTATCAAAAATGTTCGTACAGTAAATTTAGTTTAACTACGCCATAAAACACACATGTGTGTATGTGTGTGTGTGTGTGTGTGTTTGGTTGTACATACATTAACATTTTAGTGTTGTATAGAGTTATGCATTTATGTATGTTTGTTTGTATCTATGTACATATGTATGTATGTAGTTGGTAACAGTCTTTTATCACGTTTAGTTTTGGTTATGCACATGCTGCAACATGCATAATTTATGGTACATAGGTATACATATATATTTTTGTATATATGCACATATATTTAGCATTTAATATTTAATTTAATTATATTCCGATTTAGACTAAACTAATAATTGTTTTATCCTTTCCAGCACCTCGTCTCGGTGTGCGGCTCTAAATTTGAAGACAACCAACACTAGACTCTAACTCTACATGGTACATAACGGGTTAAAACAACAAACAAACAAGTATGTACTGCTGGGAGGGAGATGCTCACGCTCACTGCTGCCCAACACTGAAACACCTTTTCGCGTTGCAGTTTTTTTCGAGGTTTTCATTGGTTTCACGCGTTTTCAACTTTCAACCAATGAACAATTTCAGTGTAGTGTTGGGCTTTTTGCTGCTTTCCAACTAGAATAAAATTATGGACTTGTTCCATCATTGGCTGTTGAGCTTGCCTGCCAAGGCCAAGACAAGACAGTTGTATCACATCATCGATGAAACCCTTCTTCAGTTCGAGAGTCAATCCTCCTACTCTCTCCTCTGTCTTTGTCCTATACTATCCTGCTGTCGGGATCCTCACGTGGATCCTCATTCTGTCTGTGTGGCTCGGAATCCGAATTCTTAGTTGTGCTGACATTGCTGCTGGCCTTGTGCTGCAGCCGCACCTCGTACTCGCTCTTGATGTTCACAAATAATTCACTTTGCTTTTGATGCTCCTGCTGCAGGAACAAATCGAACTCCATTAGCTATCAAGGAGGCTGCTCTGTGCTCGGGCTTACCATGATCTCATCGAAACGCTGATTGGCATGCGGCAGCTCGTATCGATTGCCCTGATCCCGCAAATTTCTGGCCACATTCAGCTGCTGCGACAACTTGCGTCCAATGTGATCCAGCGACGTGTTCAGCACATGTTCGATCTCTGCAAAGAGGAACAACAGAAGCTGTCAGGTGTCAAGTCTCAGCCATGGGATGACCTAAAGCGCTCACCTGTGCTGGGCACAAAGCGACGCTTTGGCGCTCTAACATCCTCCTGTTCCGGCGAGCCTGAGCTGCTGCCTCGCTTCAGTGGAGCACCTGGCACCTGGCACACCTCGCATTGTGCGCCGCCATGGCAGCTGCATTCTGCTTGGGAGCTGTTGGGTGACTTTACGGCCGAACCTTGAACGCCGCGCAGATGCTTGGCTGCTGTGACATTCACCACGCTGATGCTCTTTGATATTGAGGACTTTACGGAGGCTGCTTCGGGCGGCACCAGTGCCAAAGGCGGCGTCTTGGAGCTGCCCTGGCCATGGCGGGCCTCCAACAAAGCGGACGAGTGACCCAGAAAGGAGGAGGAGCTGTGATGCGTACGCGAATGATGCTGATGATGCTGATGATGCTGCTGATAGGAATCACCAAACTCTGACACGCTGCGACCGCCATCATCTTCATCATCGTCTTCCTCGTCGTCCTCCTCATCATCGTCATCATCCTCATCGCCCTCCAGCTGGGACGGATCCTCATTGGATTTTTGCAAATTTTGTATAAGCCGCAGGACGGCCTTCTCCAGCAGCGCTGGGTGCTCGGAGGCGGGCACATCGATGGTGGACTGAGGAATCTGCGTGTTGATAATCACCGAAAACTTCTTCTTCATCTCCTGAACACGCCGCTTGCCCTCCTCGTCGTCCAGCAATGTGTTGACACAGACAAACGAGTGCACCTTGTTGGTCTCCTTGTCGATTTCCAGGTAACCCTTGGACTGCAGGTAAATGATGTTGCCATTCCGAGTGAACAGACGATACGTCGACTCACCATACGAGCTGTTACAGTCGTACACTGAAGAAGGGATTAATGGGTTAGGACTGGGACCTTTGCAGCGATCGAGGAGAGAGTTTCTTACTCTGTCTTAGGGCTACGATCACCCAGCGCACGTCGTCGTTGTGCATAAAGGTGAAGGGACTCAGATTGCGCACCTCGTCTGTCATGTAGCCGGCCACAATGCCGATTCGCTGATCGCAGTCGATGATTCGTCCATCTATCAGATGGCGAGTGCGATACTCCAGCGTATTGGCATCGATCAGGCGGCTGGCGATCTTCGGCGGACGGATGATCCGAGCACAGGCAGTCAGTACCTAAACGAGACAGAGAGAGAGAGAGATTGCTTATGGTTTGGGATCGTGGATCATGGTTTCAAACTCACAATATCATTGCCGCTGATCGTGTGCAGAGGAATGACATCGTCCCGACCTCGCGTCCTACGTATCAGCTGCAGGCTCGAGCTGAAGGTACTGGAGCGTACGCCTCGAGGCGCATCATCGCTACGGCGAAAGCAGCCATCGATCTTCACCACCTCATAGGCCGTGGGCTCCGAACGAGGCCCCGCACGAGCCAATCTGCAGAGACAGAGAAAGAGAGAGAGAGATTCAGATAATAAGTTGTAGTGATTAGTGATCAGTGATCAGTGATCATACCTCACGCGAAAACTGCGCCTATCCTCGCGCAGCTTGCAATCGATGTAATCCTCCTCGGACTTGCTGCGCAATCGCGGCTCTCCGTCTGCGTCCGAGTCTGTGGCGTGCACATCGAAGAGATTCTCCAGCTCTGTGGGTATCAGCTGCTGTTTGAGCATATTCTGGTCATCTGGATGGGTGATCTGCATGATGCTCTGGCCATACAGATCCGTCTGACAGTGACCCAGATGCTGCTCGATGCTCGACGAGATCAGCAATATATGTCCATGGCAGGTGACGGTAAGGAAGAAGCTGTCCAGCATGCTCATCAGTGTGTCTGTGATCTGTGGCCGCTGGTGTTGTAACGTCTTGCCGAAGGCTATTGGAAAATCATTATTAGTTTTGCCATCATCGATCAGTGATCACTGATCATTGATCATTGATAATTGATAGTTGATCGCTTACCATGCTTCAGCCGCAGTCCGTGGGCAGCAAAGCGCAGCACGGCCGTCTTGTCCACACGTCTCGGGGACTCTGCCACATGAGGCACCATCGTGGAGAGCTCTTGGATTGAGCCATTGAGTTTGTCGCGGCGATTCTTCTCCGCGCGGTTGCGTGCCTCTCGACCGCTTTAAGAGAAAACAAAGGCAACATGATTAAGGTTGAACAAAGATATAAAGCAGTTGGTTAATCGTTTTCCTATTGGGGTAGGTGCTGACGAGAGTTGGGAAAGCCAACCAACCCACCTTTAATTGCTAAGCTACTGTGTGTATGTGTGAGAGAGAAAGATTGCATATAGCTAGCTATAAGAGAACGCCATAAGAAGACTCAACAAAGGTGACACTTGCTAATCGATTCGACGATCTATCCCAGGCCAGAGCCGGCATGAATTTGTATCAAGCAGCTTTACCGGCTCAGCTCGCTCTCCCTCGGTTCCCCCGCCTGTCATGAATTGGCATTTGGCTATGGGGTTACGCAGTCGCATGGCATGTTCTATGTATATACATACGAGTGTGTGCTATCCGGCTAGACGACTATCGACTGCCGACTCTCACAGTCCATCAATAATCAATAATCAGCAACCAGATGGCTTTCGTTCGGGCAAGGGAAGTGGCGCCACAGGGGGGATCAGCCAGTGGAAGCGATCCAAGTGCAATGATCACGTTCGAAACGATTCGGATTGGCGCTCGTCTTAGCTACCACTTTTGATTGCATAAACTTCTCGTTCTCGCTCTCGCTCTCTCTCTCTCGTCCGGCTGCCCCTTTGGGTGAGTAATTTATACGGAAATGCGGAGAGCATTGCGTTCGATTAGCAATGGGCCACCAAATTGTTGCGTTGCGTTGCGAACCCCCCTCCGCGCCACTGCACTCCGCTCGGACCCAGGCCCGTACTGATGTAATTTATTTTAGAACGCAATTGCAAAACAAGTTCGCAAATTACGAGTGCAAAAACACACACAGGCACACACACACACAGACACGGCGCAACGAAGTGCATGAGTACGAACGAGTAATGTAAACAAAATCATAAACAAGCAGTGCAACTCTTACGACTGTGCGATACCCGCTAATAATGGTCCTGCTTATTGCATTAATATGTTCAGCTTTCGGTTGGGAAAGCAAAACACAAATGGGAAACACATAAAAACTGCACTTATTTCAGTAGAATTTGTGAGGTTTTTGTTGCCCCAACTGGCTCATATTTGTGGCTCATATTTGACACAAATTCAATATGCCCTCTCTGCTCTGTAGATGTGGGGAAGGAAACACAAATTTGCCTGTACAAATATCGACAACCCGCTGTTTGATGTGCTCGTAATTATGTAGCTTATTGGAAACACTTCTCTACACGCCAACATAACCCTCGTGGGGGGTAAAACTCGTGCTAATTAATAAACTTGAGCATGCCCAACAAATTGCACTCCAATGAAGTGGCTACAGCATCTTAATGAGCGGCGGAATATTCACTCAATAAGATACATAAATTATCTCCTGCAAGATTTTACGCGTGCCGGCAACAAGAACTATACGAAATGCGCAACAGCCATCAAAGTCATCAAAATACAGTCGCGGGGTGCGCGGTGCGGGGTACTCCGGGCAAGTGCAGCTTGCACTCGAATGAAGTGCGATTTCGCCAATTAGGATGGCATTAAAGCGAACATAATGAGCGGGCCAGGGGGTAGGGGCTGCTAAAAAAGAGTTTTGCAAACGAGCGATGCGAGAAATGCAATTTGAGACTTCGAATTAAACTAATTGGGCAAAAGTTTTGCGCAGCAGAAAATTCTATTTAATTTACACAAATATTAAAGTTTGCTTTTAAACTTTGCAAATGGCAATTAAGGTCGATTTTATCTAGATATAAATATAGCTAGTGAAATCATGTTTCAAATATGTTGGCATGCAGCTTCGAGTTGTAAATTGTAAATAAAAATTATGAGTGCAAAAAGTGTAGACGGTTGGTCCACGGGGGTGAAATACCAAAAAAGTTGTATTTATACTCTTTTGTTGGTACACATCGAAGCAGTACCCTAGAAATCCGGGCCCGATTTCTAGTGGTGTTTCTAATGCGGGACAAGTGGTCAAGTTAATGTGGCTTTTGGCCACTCGATGCGATGTGTCTGTTCGGCTGCCTGTCTGTCAGTTTTTCAGCTGATTGCAAGTTCTATTCCGTGTGTATGTCATTGTGCATGAGTTGTGTGTGTGTTTTTGTTTTTGTTTACACAACTTGTTGCATTTTCCTTTTGCTGAATGGCAAAGTGAGGCGCAGAGCTACGCCAACTGTTCGTTCGTTCGTTCGTTCGGTCTCTCTCTCTCTCTCTCTCTTACTTGTTGCTGCCTTCTGCTACAATGTAAGCGCTAACTGTACTCGCTCTCGCCGGCTGCTCCAGCTCTCAGTTGCGCTGCAGTGTAATGCACTGGGACCTTGAAACCATGCAGAAGCAGGGAGAGAGAGCAGTGCGAAATACAGTAGCGAGACAGGGATGGCTATGCAAGCGCACATCGAAACGCATTGGAATGGGATTTGGGCAAAGTCAAGCAGTGCAACGGTACAGCAAAAGCAACAGCAACAGCAAAAGCAAAACAAAATAAGTGCACAAATAGAAATATGGCAAAGTACATAAGGAAACAAATTCCATATTCAGTTTATGGTCTGCCAATCAAGTGGGGAGCGGGGCTGACGTGCAGGGATACACGCGTGTGCAGCGCCGCAAATTGGCCAAAATGATGAATGATGGAAAAAATCTGAATGTGTTCGCGGGTTGTCTGGAGTACGAAAATAAATCAAAGAAATTTGATACAAAAATATAACGACTCCCCCCCCCCCCCCCCCCCCTGCATAATGGCACCATGGGCTCGGTCCTAATCAGCCGCAGCAGAGGGATGTGCAGCTAATTGAGCGGGGCCAATCTTCAATCCAATCAGACCAGACCAGACACTCGACGGGCGGTGTGTGTGGGAAGGAGGAGGAGTGGATACATTTTGAATGGGAAACAAATTGGCGCCTGCGTCTCGGCCACGAGTGGATTCCATCTCAATTTTCACAGTGGGGGATCAGTGAGGCCGCAAGGTTAGGGGGAGCTGCTGGAGGATTGCTGGACTAGTGGACTAGTGGACTCACCTATTTGATAGCTGGAACATCTCCATCATGGTCTCGTGCGGATGCGTGTGTGGATGTTGATGCGGATGCTGATGCGGCGGATGGTGGTGCGAGTGCGAGTGCGGGTGCGGGTGCTGGTGTGGATGCGGCGCTGGCATATGTGGATACTGATGATGCAGCGGATGCAGATGCGTCGTATGAGCGCCAAAGGAGCCTGGTCCTGGCCCTGGTACTGATCCTGGTCCTGGTCCTGTACCCGTTGCGGTCCCGTTGCCACCCGTCTGCGGCCCGTAGCCACCATAGCGGCCAACACCTCCAGCAGCTCCTGGCGCTCCGCGGGAGCTGTACAGCGAATTCGGATACCACATATTCGGATAGAAGTTGGGCGAGGTGGGTGCCGCTGGGGAATGTGCATAAGGGTGCTGCAGGCGGCCGCCACCGTTTGAGCTGGAGCCCGCCGGCGAGCCACCAGGCGCACCTGCAGGCACTCCCATGCCGGGTGGCACTGGACTGCCCGGCGATCGGTAGTTGAAATGATGGTACACCGAGCTCGATGGCGGACGCAGCATCAGTTCGCAGTTGGAAGGCGTCGGCGACTGGTAGTAGCTGTTGGCAGCGCTCCCGCTGCCGCTTGCCCCGTAGTCGGAGCCCAGCACGGAGCTCTCATTCTCGTCCGGATAGCTATCGTCCAGCTCGTTGCTGCCATCGTCATCCCCGGCATCCGGGTTTGCTCTTTTCGCTTGCAGTTCCAGTTCCAGTTCCAGTTGCAGTTCCAGTTGCTTTTCCGCAGCTGGTTCAGGCTCCGCATCTGCGGCGACATCTGCGTCGGGATCCCAGTCTATGGCGTTTGGATCGTCGTATTCGGCCAGGCTGCAATCGGGTTTACTCAGCGAGAGCAAATCGCTGGCAAAGACGGAGCCAGCTCCGCTCTCAGCTCCGAAATCAGTTCTGCTTGCAGTTCCACTCGCGGAACCAGTTCGCGGAACAGCCACTGCCTGCGGCTCGTCAAAGTAGGGAATGTCTTGCTTGAGATCTTCAACGTCCTGACTTCGACTCTGCTCCTGACTCTGACTTTGACTCGCGTTGGAGCTTCTGCTTCGGCTCGTCCCCTCCATGTTCTCCAGCTGAAACAGATAAGCAGGCAGAAAGAGTTTGAAAGTTCAATCAATAAAATATTTCGATTGTTTAATTATTATTATTATTACTTTATTGTTATTTTTGAGCTTTTGTTACCATTTGTTTTTCGCATTCGTTTTCCAAATTATATTCGAGTATTAAAAATAGATTAACAAAAATACACAAAATCCAATTGGACGTTCCTGAACGTTTTTTTCGTGTATTTTTATGATCGAACTCGTAAAATTCTAGCGGCAATAAACGACTGTGAGGCCGTGAGTCATGGTGGTGCGGCGGGGGAGGGTACCGTGAAGGGCGCAAGTGTATGACAAAAAAAAAAAAAAAGAGTAAAAGTAAAAGTCAAAGTCAAAGAACTGCTAGTGAAACTTTTATACACACATATTCTTTTGGTTATTTATATGCGACTCTTGTCCTAGTGCCGCCTATAAATAATACGCTAAACTATAGATCCGAGTATATAAATAATATATAAGTAGGTGTATAACACACAGACAGTCCAAATACATATAGCAGCGCTTTCATGTCGGATCTTTGAACTATATTTACTCCTCGCTTTGTCCATGCCATTGCCATTCCATTGCCATTCCATTTCCTTTGTCACACATACTCATATTTCCCTCTTCTGATTCATGATCATACTTTCCCTCTCGAACTTATCCACTAACCTTTTGCTCTTGAACAAATGCTATATATTCAACAACAATTGTAACTCATCAGTTACCCAGCAGACAGCAACAATCTCAGAATATATCAGTTCCCATTGATCCAGCAAACATTGCTAAAAGGTATACGAAAGACAGTCAAAGCGTATTGTTTAATTCGTGTGAATAGAACCATTCTCCCATTGCTCTTCCCTATCGCAAAGTCTGGCTATCAGTCATTCGCCCACCCTACCCCCCCCTTTGCTTGGGCACTGCTCAGCCTCTGCTCAGCTCTCTGCACAGTCTTGAAAGAAGTGCAAGTACCCGGGGCACTGCGAATGGAAATGTGGTGGCGGCTAAGTAAATACGCAACCCGAACAAATACTTCGCAAGAAAGTAACTAATATGCGATTCGAGTGCTCTTATTTTTAGTTCATTATCTGTGCATCGCGGATAGATTATTTTTTATTTTATTTTGCACTATTCTATATGCTGTCTTGTTGGGTTATATTTTTGAATGCAACACTTGCTGGGTATCCCCGCAGTCGAAATACTTGACTGTAGCGCGCCTGTTTGCTTTTTCTAGCTTCATACTTTGTTTTGTAATTGTTCTCGAGTGCAACGCAAATAGTGGGGCAGGGGCAGACTTGTGTCAATTGCTGCCAAAATCGCCAGACAGCCGTTTGCTAATCTCAAGAACTAATCAAAGGAGCAGCCCCCGAGCAGAGCTTGCTCATCCTAATGGCTCATAAATATGCAAGTATGTGCGCCAGAGCGACTTCATATCATCTACATTGCAAAGCAGACAGGTGGTAGAAATGCTTTGGGCCGGTTCCGCTTTATTAGGCTGTGAGCTGTGTGAAATGTATATATATGCATATGTGTGTGTGATATTTATACGGTCTGGTCTCTGTGTGTTGGGCAATTATAATCTTTGTATTTAACATGAGTATAGCTCTTGATAAACCGCCAGTGTTGACAACGACAACGCCGACACCAACGCTTATTTGCTCTTCTCGATTGTGTGTGTTGGGCCAATGACCATGGCCAGACGACACCCACAAAATTTGTTTGTGTTGTTCATATTAGTTACATTTTGAGTACGAACTTGGGTTAGGCACCCACACTGTAGTGTTCTCTAACACTTGTAGCTTGTCTGCGCTGCGTAAGCGGAAGGTCAGTTACAGCTAGCGCTGGCTCAGTAGCCCGCTCAGTGGGAGAGCCAAGAGATCTTGTAGTGCATAGACCCCACTGAAGGTTAAGCAGTCACAATGAAAGTTCACTTTTAACCCAACTTTTCGCTGCTGCTGCTTTAAGGCAACTCAATCATGGGAATATGTAGATTACTGCCCGTGGGAGAGACGAGATGCACGGGAGAGCTTTCACTACGCAAAGAGTGAGAGAGAGGGAGAGAGAGGAGCGCAGCTAATGTGTAGATCTAACGGTTTAAGCAAACCCTCGCATGGCTGTCGCCACCTTTTTCCTCCCAAGCCCCTTCCCCTACCCCTTACCCTTTACACCACTCAGCGCTGACGCTTAGCCTTGAGCCCAACATACATAAATCAATCATTAAATATTTACGTCCAACACTAACGGTAACAATAACAACAACCATAACAATCAAATAAAAGCGAAAAAGAGGCGCAGAGACGCTTGGTGGGGAGAGAGGCAAAAATCAATTTCACTTACATATTTTGCGCTGTTTCTTCGTCTTCTGCATGAAGCGAGCGTTCGAAAGCTTTTCCTCGCTCTTTCTCTGCTCTGCTCTCACTCTGCTGCGTGTGTTTTTGAGGAGCGCGCTCGCTGCAAGCTTTCTCCACCCGCTCACGCTCTCGCGCGCTCTGTCTGTGCGGTTTGTTTATTTCGATGGCACTGCCCCTCTGCCCCGCGCAGCACCCACCCACACTCTCTTTCCCTGGATTGACAAGACTGTCTGTCTCTGTCGCTGTCTCTGTCCCGCTCTGTCTCGCCTCCAGTGAGGGCTTTTTGGAGTGGAGTGGAGTGGAGTGGCGCTGCCAGGAGTGCTTCGCCCTCCTTGCCTAGTCTGAGTGGCGGGGGGGGGGGTGCGGGTGGTGGTTGGTGGGTGGTATTAGAAATTTATATATTTTGTATTACTTTGTTGTTGTCCTGATAGCTCTGTTGTGCAGTTGCAATTACAGTTGTTATCTTCTACGGCTGGGCTGGCTTTTTGTTTCTGTCGTTACTTTTGTACTTCCATTTTTGTGCTTTTTTATTTACATATTTAAAACAAACAAAAACACAATGCAACAACAATAAAAAACATTTACAAAAAAAAAAAAACAACAGTAACTGGCAGAATTCTATACTTTAAGTATTTTGTTCTGGGACGTTCACTTTTTCACCGGTATTTGCATGGTACGAGTTTTCATTTGTCTAATTTTTGATTTTTTTGTTGTTGATTTTTTTGCTGCTGCTTAAAATAGTTCTAATATTTCAGTTAGCCAAGTTTTCGGATGGCATTTTATAGTTTTACTCGCACTCTCCTGAAGAGCAGGCAAAAGTGTTTTTGTTTTTAACTCACGCACCGAATACATTATCAATTGGCGTGGAAATTGGATTATGTCCATTTTCCTGCATTACACTGTTCAGCAGGTACAAAATAAATATTTTGTTTGGCGGTGCTGCTGCTGCTGCTGCTGCTGCTGCTGCTGCTGGTTCTCTTCACTTTTTCACTTTTTATTTTTATTTTAATTTGCATATTTATATTCTTATTTTGATATATTTTTTTGTTGCTGTTGTTTTTGAAATATTTGTACAGCTGGAGGTAGTTTTTGGTGTTGGATCTGTTGACGTTGTTGTCTTCGCAACAAGCTTCCAGCAAGTGCTCAATGATTGTTGCTAAAGAACAAAACAAGTGGAGAAAGTAAGTTGAAAAACAATTTGTATTTAATGAACTTCATTTTCTCCTTTTAGTTTTTAGCATTTTTTTTGTTGTTTTTTTGTTGTATTAAACACACGAGCAACAGAATTTGCTGTTTTTTATTTTAAATGGATTTTTAATTGAGTTTAAATTGAATTCTTCATGGCACTTTTTCGGCGTTTCTCTGCTTATAAATAATATGCCGAAAATGATTCCCTGTGTGAATTTTATTTTGCTCTCCAAATTTAATTCAATTTTAATTGAAACAAAAAATATTCTACAAATTTTTGGCGTCAAAGCAGTTCAGACTTTGACTCCCATTGGGTGTGCCTGTGCCTGTGTGCCTGTGTGTGTGCGTGTGTGTGTGTGCGTGTGTTTTTTAAACCTGACTAAAATATAATTCGGATGTTGCTGCGGCCTGCGTCTGGTTTTTGCTAATTAAATCATTTTAATTTATGTATGTACAGTGTACATATTTTATTGTGTATTTCGACAAAGGCGACACACGAACAAAAATTGTTGTTTTGTTGATCGAATCGGGTCTGTCACCTGTTGCTGTGTTGCTTTGTTGCCGCTGCTGCTAAATGCTTCTAAAATTCGTTTTTGCATTAAATATTTCATTGTTTTTTGGGCTCGCGTGAAGCTTTTGATGAAAATATCTACATATACATATAAACCGGTTGCTGGAGCCGCGTCGCAGTTAGCACCAGTCCCCTCCCCCCCCCCACCGGGAGGGCCGCGATGTGGCTCCACGTCTTTCGATAAGTAAGTACCAACAGATTGGCTTGCACACACGTGAGAGAGTCTCGCGAATATGCATTTAATATTCGATTGATTGCATCCCAAAAACTTGTGCCAATCCTTCGATGTCCATGCCACAGTCCATGCCGACAGGCAGGTACATATTATGTATGCAAATATGTACACTTGCATGTATGTGTATGTACAACATTGTCTAGTTGTGTGAATTAAGCTCAAGTGGCGCTTGGCATGCCAAATCAAATATTACCAAGCCAAACGCAAGCCCAACCCAAGCTCCTTTGGGGAATCAAATTGTGTGCTTCTGTTTTGCTTCAATTCTTGTTCCTGCCCAAAAGCTTTCCCCCATTAACATATACATATACATATACATGTGTATGTGTATGTGTGTGTGTGTGGGGGTACATATTTATGAGTGGAGCAAGGACAACTGAATCATGAGCCACTGATGTTCTGCGCTGCGGGAGTGGAGGTGGTGCGTGTGCGTGTGCGTGTGCGTGTGGGTTGCTCGTTCGTTCGTTCGCCCAATTGCGTATATGCCTGTACCAGGGTCCAACTACAGTGAGGCTACCCTCCCTCTCTCACTCGCTCTCTGGTGTGACATTGCTTGAAGTTTCCTTTATTGCTGGGGCAGCACTGTGCTTGGGGGTTCCTGCCTGGGGAGACATCGCACGCACGTCGCAAAACAACAATCCTTGTGAGCATTTCCCATTTGCAATTGTTTGTGCTGCGGTTGACAGGCGACATTCCCCCCCCCCCATCCAGCACTGACTTGCACAACCACCCACACACCCACACACCCATGCGCTGCGCTGCCGAGCTGCGCTGCGCTGCCGAGCTGCACTGCGTCTTCTCTTTCCCTCTCTGTCTGTGTAACTGTTTCTGTCTCCCGCGGAGGTTCGCATCTGGGGGCCTGGGTCAATCACCCGACTGCGGCTCGTAATTGCAAAAAAGAAACAACAACAGCAACAGCAACAGCATTCAAATGTAATGTGAACAAAAACCTTTTCTGCTCTACCCGTCTCACTCGCCGTTTCTATTTCTTACTCCCTCTGTGTGTGTGTGTGTGTGTGTGTGTGTGTGTGTGTGTGTGTGTGTGCTTTTGCAGTCGGTTTATTTGCATTTCAGACGCGACGTAGAAAAAAAAATTAAAATAAATTCAAGTGCTTCGTCCCAAAAAGAACAAAAACAAAAATTGAGACAAAATGTTGGCGAGCAAAAGGCAAAAAAGCAATTTGGCATGGCAGAGAGCGGGGTGGGTCGGGGGGCGGATTGCGGGTGGCGGGTGGCGGGTTGCGGGTGGCGGGGAGTGTGTGTTGAGGGATTATCAAAAAGAATAACAAAAGCAAGAGCAGAGCACGAAAAGACAGCCAGAGAGCGAGAGAGAGAGAGCAGAAAATAAATAAATTATATAATTTGCTTTGACGTTTGCTGAACCCCCACCCCGCCCCCAACCCCTTCTCCACCCCCTACGTTTGCGGGGTTTTTGTTTACATTTTTTATAGTTAAAGTTACATGAAGTGCCGAGCAGAGCGTATACGCAATATTGCGTATACGTATCGCTCTCTTAGGTCTATAAATAGAGCAGCAACTGACAAAATAGTTCGTCCGCAGAGGATCAGTGGGGCCGAGGAATCTCTGGGCGGTAGGCTTCCCTCTGGCATTCCTTCTTCAATTTAATTGACTGTGAGACAGCTTCTGGGCCAAGCGATTACACATACACACAGCAAATAATGGAGCCCTGCCCACAGCACGTCCTTGTAGCTTGCGAAAGGAATTACGCGCCATTCCCGCCTCTGCCAGCAGCGAAAAACAGGCAGCAGCCTCCACTCTCCACTCTCCACTCTCCACTCTCCACTCTCCCTGACTGCCTGCTGAGTCGGTGTCAAGTGCTTGCTCCACTCTCTTGTTTGTTTCTTGCTTTGCTCTCGCCTGCAGAGTCTGTCTTTGCCGGCTCGACCTGCTCTAATGCTGACGCTGACGTCGTTTTTTTTTTGCCAACATTGGTGGGGACATCAGGTGGTGGCTGTCCAAAAATAGCAGCACGCCCGAAGGCAAAGGGGGAGGACACTGTCGCAGCAAGAGGCAAGGCAAAGAGAAAGAGCGGCAGAGAGAGAGCGGCAGAGAGCGGCGACCCAGAACGTGGTCATTTGTGGATTCAGTGTACTTCTGTGGCTTGGGCACGTTCCGTGCTAAATTCCGTTTCGTGTGCTCTCTGATCTCTGGCTCATCTTTACATAACCTACCCGAAAAGCGACGCAAGGCGAACGGCAAACGGCAAACGGCGCACTGAGCGTATGCGTAATGTGCTTGTAGCCAGAAGATTACGCATACGCACACTCATTGAAATGTTAAAGCCGATCTATGGACTGGCAGCCCAACATGGCGTCAAGCTATCTGGAAGTCGCTTCGTTCCCACTCCCTCTCCCTCGCCCTGCCACAATTCTCAGCCAATTAAGATTCGATTTATCGATAAAGCTTGCTGCTGTCATTGCGTCTAATTTATGGATCAAATCAGATTGCTGCCAGCAGCAGCGGACCTGCAGAGCTGTCCAGCGAATACAAACTAGTTGCCGATCATCGAGTGGCTGTGTGAGGATCAGGCGAATCTATGATGGTCTTTCGGGGGGCATGGCACAATCAAATAATTAGCAGCTGTATCCAAGCGACGTACAACTTATTAATAGTCTAAATAAATACACGATATTCGGCCTACGCTTTGAAATGCTAGACAAATTTATTGTCTAGGTTAGGTTATCAATTGCTCTCGCTCAGGTTGCTGGGATCTACGCACCAGTACAGGTTCGGCTTTTCTGCTGCTGCCTCAGCTCCAGCTCCCCGTAGCGAGCTTTCAGCTTCTCGGCGCTCTCTGTCGCTGCTCGCTCTCCCGCGCTCAGGAGCAGCGCTGCCTGGCTGTTCGCTCAGACGCGACGTCAGCAAAACAAAATTGTATAAAGGCGACAAAAACAACAACAAATCGAATACACAAAAGAAAATGATAAAGAATGTACATACTTTTGTACATATTTATGTACATTTTGATGCTCAGTTAAACGCCCTACAACCCACCCGGCACCCCCACCAGCAGTCCCCCTGCCCGCGCAGCGATATTCCCGCCACCACCACCACCACTCGGCAGCCCTTTTGTGGGACATGCGACGAAGAAATTAATTATCAAACATAAAACAAAACAAACCACGCAAACATGTCGAGCAACAACAACAAAAACAACAGCAGAGCCAGCGAAAATAATAAAAACAAAAACAAAAACAAAAACAAAAAACATAAAAACGCAGGGAAAACCTTGAAAAAATTAAAATCGAAAAAATTCGACAGAGAAAAAAAAAGATACAAAAAACCAAAAACCAAAAGCAAACGTTTTTTATTGAACGAAACTTGGAATTTGACGGCAAAGCCATACGAAAAGTGTTGCTATTATTGCTTCACTTTGCCCCCTTCAAAAAAAAATGTGTAATATGTTGGCATTATTATTGTTATTGTTATTGTTATTGTTATTAGCTTTTAACACTGCTCGGTTTCAGTTGTGTGCTGCGGAGGTGCCGACTGGCGCGACAAGTTCAAGGGTTTTGCGACCCCATCACACTGTACTTTATACTACATACATACATGCATGTAGTACGTATGTATATGTAAAATATACTCCACTTGTCCGTCCGGCTATCAAAATGAGCACCTTGATCTCTCGCACACACGCACAGGCAGCAGGCAGCAGGCGAGAGATGTGGAATGCTGCTGCCGGGGCATGCCCTACCGCTTATCACCTGCCCAGCCGCAGATCTTCTACATTTTATAAAGAACCAAATATCAAGAAAAACAAGGGCAACAACTAGGCAACCAATCGGGTTTCAGTGTCTGTCTTTGGGGGTATCCTTATGGTCGATAGAGTGTCTGATCTGATCTGATCCGATCCGATCCGATCTGATCGGGTCTCTCGGGTTTGATTATTTTGTCAAGAGGCAACAAATAAAAATACAAGCAACAAAATTAACTAAACCAAAAAAAGAAACTGGAAATTCATTAATATGTTAATTTCTTGTTTGTCTTGCCTCATTGATTGTGTCTGTATCTGTGTCTGTGTCTGTGTCTGTGGCTGTGGCTGTCTTGAAGTTGTTGCTTTTATCGTTGGCTAAGCAAATTTGTGAGGATTTCTGGCAAATGGGAAACATATATTTCCCCAAAATGCTTCTGGCCACTGCCAGAGCTGCAGTACTCGAGTTTCGATCACGCTCCTTTGAGGCGATCAAAAGGCGCGCGCGCAGCTGATTGCAAGACACTGACATACATAAATGCATACATATTCATACATTCCTACATATGTATAAGCTCACGTTTCATATTCACTGTGTGCTGCTGCTGCTACAGTGAAAGCTCGCTGTGATGCACACACGTACGCCGCCGCTCGGGCAGAAGAGCTTTACCTGTAAGTCGTTTGTTTTGTTGCTGTTTCTTTCTATGTTTTGGCAAATATTTTCACATTTGTTTCGTTTCAAACTTTACACAGAGCACACACACACACACACACACACACAATGAGTTGCAACCAATTGTTGTGTGTGTGTGTTTCGGCGTTTCAGTTGTTGCTGCTGATGTTTGCTCTGGTTTTGGCCTCACTGTTTGATGTTCCAATTCCATTGGTTAGCGTTTCGGCTGCTCGAGCGTGTTCTTTACATTTTCGAAACACACACACACACACACGCACACGCACGCAGCACTCGCACTCGCACACTCACAGAACAAAATAAAAATAATAGTAACAGTTGATGTGTGTAATAATAATAACAAATAAGAGCGGGTTGGCCTGGGGTGGGTTTGGATTTTGATTTGGATTTCGAAACAGAGAGAAGCCGAAACAGCGTCAAAGATGGAACTGCGAGAAACAAACCGAACGAGCGTACGTCGCGACGCGTCCGTCCCGAGCCGCTACAGAAACAAAAATTAATTACATATATTGAAATCACAAACTAAACTAATCAGCCAGACCAGCAGCAGCAGCAGCAGAGCAGAGCAGCAGAGCAGCGGAGCAGCAGAGCGGCGAGCGTTGAATCAGCTGCATGAAAGCTTGCTCACAGCGTTCGGAGAGCGGAGAGCGAAAGCAACAACCTGCGTTGCGTTCCAAAAGCTGGCTACGTCGTTGGATGTTGTCAAGAAGACCTTGGGCTAAGGTTTCCGGCCGGGAAGCCGTTACATCGCTCAGATTGTTGTAGCATTTACACTACAGCGTTTGCCAAACAGAGACAGTCCGATAGATAGAGAAAGAGACAGAGAGACAGAGACAGAGAGAGAGAGAGCGAGCTTTTTGGCATCAGAGTGGAGAGCGTCGCGACAGTTTGTCGCTTTTGAGTCTATGAACTTGACGCTTGAATTTGATGGCACGGCATGGCATGTACATGCCTCCCCGACACAACACAATCACCACACACCACAACCAACAACCGATTTTTATAAACACAAACACATAAAGCTTGAAAAGAGCAAAAGAGCAGCGGCTGAGTAGCTGTTGCCATTGCTGCTGCTGCTGCTGCTGTTGCTGCTACTTATGATTATTTACTGTTGTTCGCGCTGCAACAACAAAAAGGAGTAACTGTGAAACAGCGAGCTATGCTGGAGGCGCCACCTCGCCATCCGCTGCAGCAGGGGGGCCTAAGCAAAGCGACGGACGCGTCGTTGGACTTGGACTGATGCCGACTGACTGAGTGCCAAGTGGCAAGGCGAATCCTTAAGGCTGCTCCCAGTGCTTTCGCTTTCCGTTTTTGAGAAAAGCTTTTCGCCCCTCATCCCCACCTACCGCTCCTGCTCCTTTTGGGAGCCCCCGAAACACACACAAGTTGAAGTGGCCAAACAGGGCGCATACGCAACATTTCCAAGTGCCAAGTGCCAAGTTTCATCCCCCCTCGAGCGCCTGGCCTTAGAAAGGAGTGAGGCGCTCCTGCTCGCTCGCTGGTATACGAATTCCTTTGTAATCTTTCGATTGGTTAAACACAACCAAAATACTAACAAGAGTCGCAGATGAGGCTACGACGCCAAGATACCCGCTAACGCGAGCTAATAAGTGCTCGAGACAACAATTAGGCCCTGCGATTCCTCACACTTTCAATTTGCAAAATATAATTCATAATTCTCATAAAGACACTGAGTTTGAACGATAATTGTGGCCTCTCTCTCACAGCATTTTCGATTCTAGGCGCTACTCGAAGCCATGGCGACGCAATGTTGAAGCTTTCCATCAGTTGTTCATCGTTTTTGTTCGCGAGTAGCTCCAAATGCTGCACTCCCAGAAAGTGGTTGCTTTTTTGCAACATAAACGCTTCAATTCTTCAATTGGATCCTGCAATGCCGCAGCCTTGCGGTCTCTCTTCTGTAACCTTGAAGCGCACTTTTGGTTAACTGGAAAAGGGGCTTAAACCTTAATGGAAATGGCGACAAGTGCGGGGATAAGCGGGTGTGGTGCAGGCAGCGTTGCATCGTTTATTTATTTACTTACGCGCAAATGAAATAATTAAGCGTGCTGGGAGTCCCTGAGGATATCCAACTCCTCAATCATCGCGTAGATGCGCAGCTGCTTCTCAATCATGACGTCCTGCAGGTGGCCCAGCTCCTGCGGCACATACATGGCCCCGTCCATGTAGAGCGCCTTGTCCCAGGGGCACTCGTCGAGGGCGGTGAGCAGCACCTCCTTGCTGCGATCGAAGCTGGTGTACTTGTCGGACAGGCAGCGCAGGTAGCAGCGCCAGTAGAGCGAGTTCCGCCTGAGTATCTGATACTGCTCGGCCTCGATCTCCGACCGCTGCACATTCGTTGGCAGAAATGTCTCGAACACGTGGATCACGCGATTCCGTGCGGCCAGCTGGAAGGTTATGTGCTGACCCACAACAGCCTCCACTCCGGCCGCGTGCTCCTCCAGGCTGAGGACGTAGCGGCAGCGTGCAGCCAGCACCAGATGGAGCACGGACAGAATGCCGCCCTTGGTGCGTATGAAGCGTGCGCGCTGCTTGTACCAGGGCAGCTTGTCCACGGTGGCCCAGCGTCCCAGCAGGGCCATGTTGCGCGGAAACTCCTCCAGTCCCCGCTCCAGCAGCTGCACCAGCTGCCTGCTGCTGCTGCTGCTGCTGCCCGGCACCTGCAGCAACACCGTGTGCAGCTCCAGCAGCTGCTCGCGCAGGAAGCGATGTCGCTCGCTGCTCAGAACTCTGGCTGCGCCGAAGCGTGCCTTGAGCAGAGCGTGGAGCAGCTGATCGGCCTCGTTGGCACGGCCCAGCAGGCACAGGACGAGGCAGTGGCAGCGCAGCCCCAGCAGCAGCTTATTGGCCGCAAAGAACTCCTCCAGCGCCATGGTCGGCGGTGCAGCGTCGAGCAGCTCAAGCTCCGCCTGCACGAGCCCCTCGCTGTGCTGCAGCGCCGCAGATGTGTCCGCAGCTTGCTCCTCGCTGAGCGGCGCATGCTGCTGCAGGCAGACACATGTGAGCAGCTCCAGCGCTTCCTGGCGTTGATTGCGCGCGATCAGCATCTCCGCGTAGGTGGCGTAGGCGTGCATGAGATCGGGCTGGACGAGACGCTCCGCGGAGCTCCGCTGCCAGGCGACTACGTGCCGGAAGACGTTGAAGGCTGGCGCCGGATCGCTGTCACCGTCCAGCGCCTCGTACTCGAACATGGCCAGCTCCGTGAAGAAGCGCGCCACCTGGCGATTCTCCTCCTGGCGCAGCAGCTGGCGAATGCGTTGCCGCGCCTCCTTCAGGTACTCTGCGTTCAGCTTCTTCATGAGCTTGCGAATGACGAGCAGCAGCCGCTTGAAGCGAAACCACAGCAGAATGAATATCCGGCGCGAGTTCTCCTCGTGGGCAAAGGCCTCGCTGCACTTGAGCAGCAGCCCGCAGACGGTCTCCTCGTACAGATCGCTGCCCAGGAAGTGCGGCATAAAGCTGGGCGTCACGCTCATCTCTCGCGCGAGGTTGAGCAGCGCCAGCGAGAAGTTGCCGGCATGCCGCGCGGAGGCGATGTATGTGTGGCGATCCGCCAGAACGGCCAGCAGCATCTCGACCGCCTCCGACTCGCCGATCTGCTTGATGCGCGTGCACAGACGCTCCGCCAGGCAGTGGCTGCGCACCACGGGCACCTTGGTCACCTGCACGATCAGCAGACACAGATGCAGCCGATTGCAAGCCGACTTCAGTGGGTAGACGTACGAGCAAACGTCGGCGCTGAATACCAAACGCTCCGCATCGATGTTCTCATCGCTGGCCGAGGAGTTGGCGCCCAGCGTTGGGTACGGCAGATAGCAGTACGCCTGACGCAGCAGCTCGACGCGCGTCCATATCTCTGGCAGTGGCATGCCCGACTCCAGGACGACCTCCTCGAAGTCAATGAGCGGTCGCTCGCGTTCCGCCTGCGCCACCAGGCAGTCCGCCTCCAGCCCCATCACATTCATTTCCAGGGCCATCTTGAGCATGGCGAACATCCGATTGCTGTGCCCCATTTGCCGCAGAAAGAGCGCGCAGTTGTGGAAGAGCTTGAGCATTATGGGGTCCGTGTCCAGCGAGTCGAACCTCTTGCTGTCGTCCGTGTGTCCCAGGTGCATGCGTCGCATGCTGTTCTCGTAGATGCGCAGCACATCGTTCGCATTGCACCTCGCCATCGTGCCCTGCGTGGCCATAATCAGCGCTGTCCACAGCGTGTACTCGAACGGATTTCGCTCCAGCAATTGCTCGATCAGCAGCGCGACCTAAGGGCAGGGTTTATTTTTGGGTTCATTTTCAGTTGAGTCACTGAGCTCACCTGACTGGCCGGATAGGTGGCGGATGCCGTCTCTATGTACAGCTGTAGGATCTCCTCGTTGGAGGTGTGCTGCTCCAGGGCCAGCTTGAGCGCGTGCAGCTGCTGCTCGGAGACGGCCAGACGGTTGGCCCTGTCTGGATTGCGTCCCAGCAGCTGGTGCTGCCGTATCCAGTGCTCCAAGCGCTGCGGCTCCCTGGCCACCAGCACGCGGCACTCGTTGAGCTCCGTGCGCACCGCGTCCAGCTCCTCTGGCGTCACTTTGCTCTCCTTCTCCACATGTTTGCCATAGCGGCAGCGCTTCCAGTCCACCTTTCGGTGCTGTCCGAACCCCTGAAAGGGCTGACTGACATCCCTGAGGCGGCGCAGCTTCGGTATGTAGCGGGGACGGGAGAGGCGAGCCAGGCTCTTGACTGTCAGGTAGCTGGGATTGTTCTTCTTGTCCACATAGAAGCCGTCGCTGGCATCGAACTCCAGGCGGCGCAGGGCAATCGCAGGGGTTTCTCTCTGTTCCGGCGGCCGTGGGCTGCTGCCCTCTATCGAGCTCTCCTCATCCTCGCTGGAGCTATCTGGCGGTGAGCTGTGCGTTCCGGGTTTCTCGTCGGCAATCACCTGGCTGCCCACAGCGAAGCTTGTGTTGTTTTTCCAGCCCTCCGTTGAGGATTCACCGGCGAATGCTGCTGCTGCTGCTGATGCTGCCGCCGCCTGTGTGGTATCTTCAGTCTTTGCTTCTTTGCCGGCTGGAGGCGGCTTTGATGCGCCGCCATAGGCTGGAAACAGTGACATGCTCAGTGATTTGCAATCGTTTAATGTTTCAAAATACAATAAAACAAGTGGCGGCAAACAAAGAACAGCTGGAGTAACAATCAGTGTGACAGCGCACTTATTGATCAAATATACCGCACGACCCTCTAAAATATACCAAAGTATAACTGCTCATTTTTAAAACATACCGTATATTCCTCATTCCACATATCCAATATTTTGTTCTTTGTTTCTACCGTGTCATGCACCCCTCCTTGAAGTACTTGTTTTGTATTTCAGCATATCTGGCTTTAATTTTCTCTTCCGAGTAATCCATTTTACCATCACCATTTCAACATGGTTGCGTTTATAATTCTGCCTAAAAAGGTGTTTCCCCTATTTTTACCCATGCGAAGAATAGCAGACTTACTAGGGTTAAAGCTGAAACCCAGATCCCCACATA